CACACACACACACACAGAAGGTGGCCTGCTGCTCCAGGTAGTCTTGTAGCCTGGTTCTGGTAGCTCCATCTGGCAAGGACAGTGTGACTATCTCGATGGGAAAGAGGGACGAGGAAAAGAAAGAGAGGAAGGAGGAGAGAAGCGATGAGAGGTTGGCAGAGCAGAGAGGCAAAGACAGAGAGGAGGGATGATAAATGCATCAGTGCTCAAAACGTTGAAGCTGCTCTTATCTTCCATGTGTGTTTTCTCAGTGCTGCATTTCCTGCTTCTCCTCTCCTCTAGACTGTGCAGGCTGTGGCGAGGAGATCAAACAGGGTCAGTCTCTGCTGGCTCTGGAGAGACAGTGGCACGTCAGTTGTTTTAAATGTCGAACGTGCGGCTGTGCGCTCACTGGAGAGTACATCAGCAAGTAGGTGGCCTTAACACCCAGATTTCCCCCCAGATTTTCCCAAGTTATCGATATCTTCTGTATATCAGTTAAATTCTATTTGCCAGACAGGTAACCAAAACGTATCCCATCAATCTTTCACCCACAGTATTTATTTAAATGTATAGACTTGGAAGTCACAATGACTCCTCCTGTAAATATTGCAGGAATCTGTTGTCAGGTATTAAGAAACAATGTGTTACAGGATAAATAATAGTGGAACAACTGCAGAAAGCCAGGAGGTAAATTCAAACTGAGAACCTCCTCTTTTTGTTCCTGGCAGGGATGGGATACCCTACTGTGAGACTGACTACCACACTCAGTTTGGGATCAGGTGTGACAGCTGTAACAGGTACATCAGCGGCAGAGTACTTGAGGTGAGTGCATTTTCCACCTGTGAATATGTGCGTAAGCTTAAGACAGATGGAAATAAGTGGGGGAATGTGCATGATTTTTGTCTGTTTGTGTCTTTGTAAGAAAAAGTGTGAGTTTGTGTGCATGCATGGAAGTGTGTGTATGTGTGTGTGTCGGTCTATAAAAAGCTGTGAAAAAACGCAGCTGTCCCTCTTTAAATGACTGAAGTGTCGACTGATGACGACGCAGCTTTGGAAAACCAACAAAGCAACACTCTCCCATCTCCTCTACCCTCTTCATTCTTCAACTTTTTTTCAATTTCTTATCGGGCCTGTCGCCATTCTTCACTCCTCATTGTTTTCCTCTGTTTCTTATCACCGCTCTGTTCTCGTTTCCTCATTTGTGTCATCTGATTTTGCTTCTTTCTGCCTTATTTATTTCCTATCACTTTTTTCTTTCCTTTCCTGTCCTTTACTTTTCTGTCCTCCAGGCTGGTGGTAAACGCTACCATCCCAGCTGTGCCAGGTGCGCCCGCTGTCACATGATGTTCCTGGAAGGAGAGGAAATGTACCTTACAGGTGAGGGAAAAGAGGAGAGGAGAGCCAGACAAATGGTACAATATATGTGGAACCTATGGAATTGATTGTGACCATACAACGGGGCTTCTGCATACAGCTAACAGGCATAAAAATAGACTTGTAGCATCTATTGAATTAGCTGAATCCTGCAAGTATCCAGATGGCCTGAGTGTTTCTGCATCTGTGGAAGTGGAAGTGTGTGTGTGTGTGTGTGTGTGTGTGTGTGTGTCTGCATACTGATGAATCATGCTGTATACTGTTTCAAAACGGCAAAGAGAGCAGTGTTAAAATTCTCCTCATTGTGTTGACAGACATTGAGAGACAGTACTTGTTACTATTATCCATAAATGCAATTATACATAAGAAAAGTAATTATTTACAGAGTTTCTTTGTGTTACAACCATATAACGGCTGTGCTACTTGCTTTCATTGGGGACTACTTTCTGTTTGAGTTACATAGAACATACTCATTGCTGGTTTATTATTCAGTTCTCTACTTGTAATTCAATCCAAAAAAAAAAAAAAAAAATCAATATTCTGACGTGATTTGACAGGCTGGATAATACAAGTGAGATCACTATGGGATGTATCTAATGAAGAGCTTAAAGAAGCTAAGGGATGTATTTGATCGCTTAATCATTAACTGTGATGTCTGTGCTCATTGAGACTTGATCTGTAACGCCTTACTGTACATTGGCCGTGCTACAGAAAAGCGTATTGGAATTGCTGTATGTATGTATACAGAATTCAGAGAGAGATACAGAGAGGCAGAGAGAGTGGGTGATGGACACAGATTAAGAAGATGAAAACAGCTGTCCTCCCTCAGTCCTATTTATTCTTCCACTGACTCATATACCTGCTCTGACACTATATCATTAAAGGAGAAACCAGAGGGTAGATACACAGTAAAACAAATGAAAACAAATGTTATTTCTCTACTCACAGATGTACAGTGAGCCCAAAGTAATTTTATGAATGGAGAAAAAGTCAAAAAGGTCAAACCCTTATAGTATTTTTGCTTGATCCTTTGACCACTGGATCCTCTGTATGTTTTCTTGTCCAGACTATATGACAGTGAAACTCTCCCTAAAATTCTCTAAATCAGCAATTACATAATGCATGGACACGTTGAAACTGGCGCATTGCAGTCCACATACACACACAAGGAGCAATCTGAAAACCATAGTACAGCACGAACTCTGAAGAATTAGTAAATGTGGAAAAATCATTCTTAGAAAGAAGGAAAGATAGAAAGAAAGAACGACAAGAGTGATAAATGTTACATGCCTTAGAGGGATTAGTGTCCTCCTCACAATAATACACTGGCATACATATGCAAGCTGACATACACACACACACACACACACACACACACATTCAAAAGCACACATAAATTGTACAGACATACATATGGCCCTGTGAATGACTGGAGATCTGTCCAGGGTGTAGCCTGCCTCTCGCCCAATGTCAGCCAGGATTGGTTCCAGGTAAAGCTAATGTATGGATGGATATTGATTTATATAAACATAGAGCCACAAGCTGCTTTACACACACACACACACACCCTGGTGAGCAGCCAGGTTAAAGTAATCAAATAAGAGGTTTGGCAAGAAGCAGTCAGAAAAAATGAGTTTTGAAGCAACAGATGTCTTTGTTTTGTAAGATATTTTTGTTTTACTTGAAAAATATCAAATTATACTTCATTTAGTACATTAGACTAGATGACATTTTGGCAGCCACAAAATAAGTTTTCAATCAAAACAACTTGAGTCAGTCCACCAAAAGAGCTCACAATTCCACAATCCCCACTATTTTCTCCAAAGCCAAGATTTTCTGTTGCCCACAAGAAAATTATGCCTTGCCTTTGATCAAATCAACTCACATGGCTATATTTGATACAACTCAAGAGTCCTCTGTCAAAATAAATGAAACTGTCCACTTTCTCAAGGCTTCAAAGTGAAACATCAAAATCAACAACTCTGTTGCATGTTTGGATGCAATGATAAGAGCAAATAATGCTCAAAGAAGGTATTATTCAAATAAAGGCATATCCTTTCTTAGTCCCCATTTCATTTCTTTATATTTCCTTCCTGCTTTTTGCCTCGTCTTTCACCTTCATGAACCAGTCATAGCGTCATACCGCATCCCCCCACTCCTGCCTCTTAGATACATGGCAGCAAATCACACACTTAATTGAATCAGCTGGAAATGTGCAAATGACATGCTGTTCAGTAATGCTAATTACCAGTAGAATCTGCTGATGAAATGTTTCATAAACCGACCGCACACCTAATCACGTGAGTGAAGATAATACATCCACAAAGGAAACTCAGGGGTGAGACTAAAGCAAGAAAAAACAAGAACCCCTGTCTTCCAAGACTGGAAAATGAACCAAGCAAATATTGGACCAAACAACAAGCGAGCGTATTTAACTGTGAAGCAGTTTAAATATTGTAAATTACTCACCAGGTTGGAGTTGGTGGCGTTCGAGTCATCCTCGGGGAAGGGGATGTAGACAGCTAAGGCCACACAGTTGGCGAAAATGGTCATCAGGATGATGATCTCAAATGGTCTGAGAGGAGGGTTAAGGAATATATACACCAGTACACAAAACAGACGAGTAGAGACATTTATGCAGTAGAGATCGTCCTTGAACTGGCATTGGAACTGGCATTCGACTAATAATAATATGTATAAATATATGTAAAATAATATATAGGCCAATTGTGTGCATCTAATATCTGAGTGGATCAAACTGGACTTTCAGTTCTGATCATGTGTACAGGAGAAAGGCAAAGGTTGTGAACTGCTACTTTTTTGGATTATGGCTGTTTCTTAATTAGTGTTCTCTCTCTGTTTGGGACAGTCCGGCCATGTGTTGGATCGGGTCTAATTACCCTCTGGTCTATTTCGGAGCAGGTCTGGGTGTCCTCAGGTCCCTTTCAAAATTTGGTCCCCTTTTTTCAATATGAAACAATACGCTACAGGTTCAGGTGGGTTTTCAACGATCCATGAAAACCTCTAGTATACAGTACAAAATAATACAGACTCTGACTTTTGACCTTCCAGAATAGAAAAAAGTCTTTGTATGTTATTTCAACAAAGAGGTATTTTTAAACAAGCTAATACATCCTTACATAAGCAGAGATATATATACACACATAGCAGAGTGCACAAGCAGTGTACACAATGAGAGAGATCAAAGCTGTTGAGTTTGCCTTTTCGTTAACAATAAGACATATTGGGTCACTTAGGAACCTCTTTGTGTGTGGAAGGGGGGTTAGAGAGACAGTGCATGCCCTAATATGGGTGCAGTGAGGAGCAGGCCTGTCGCGTGGAAGACGGGATGTGGACAGGGAAAGAGTGAGCGTGAGATGGAATGAGAGAGAGGAGAGACACAGAGGGTTTTTATATGGAACGGTCCTTGAGAGGGGAGTGACCTCATTATTTTTGGCCTCAGAGAGAGAGAGAGAGGGAGAGATACAAAGTGGGAGAGAATGGAGAGTGGAAGGAGAGGGAGAGAGAGAATGTGAAGGAGAGATAAAGGAGATCTGGTTTTCATCAACACAATTACTAACTGCCACTGCTGTCACCTCCCTCCACCTCCTTTTGCTCTCTTCGTCAATTCTTTCCTTCCTTCCTTCCTTTCCCCTTTCCTCTTCCCTCCTGGCTGCATGTCAAATTAGTCTAGACACCAGGCCTGTAGCATAACATAAACAGAAATGTAGACCCTTAAATCCAGAAGACAACCCATGAGCAATTGCATGTACACTTTTAGTTGGCATTCATGTTCAACACATTACATGACACCATGTCATGTAATGTTCTCAAGCTTCCCGAGCTTGAGAACAAGCTTTAATCATTTGCTGCACCGAATCCAACAAGTGGCAGTTTTAAGCAGGTGGTGGTAATGGTTGGCTGGGATACAAGTGCAGAAGAAGTTGAATCTCAGTAAGAAAGTGACCGTCAGTCTTTTCAACTGCATTACCCTATATCTATAATGTAACTCTGCCAGAAATAAAAGGAAAAAAAGTTCTCAGGGATGGATTGCCAACACTTACTGAGTTATTTTCAATTGCAAAAGAGCAGGAATTTACATTTGCTGCTATAACTTTAATTAACTTGATCCCGGTTACCTACTAGAAATTCAGGAAAATATTTAAGGCAGCTAAAAGATACCAACATGAACAACTTGAGATGTTCGTTACAATTTCAACGTGAGAAATCCTAGTTGCTTAAAACCACATCTGCAATTTATTTCTCAGTACTGACGGACACATTGCTTTTACTGGTGCCAATATTTTGGAATTAACCAGTATGGTTTAATAGGCTTGAATGGCAGAAGAGTGATGGAACTGTCTTGAACAAATAAATAACCAATTTTCAGTTTAAATAAGAAGAAGCGAATTTAACAACTCTAACAATCGTTTACTACATATAAACACAATAGCAATCTTGCTGTGTGGCTGTTCTAGAAACAGACGTGCTATCCATTTCAGAGCATTAACTACTGTTTTAGGAATAGCCTTGCAGACAGAGAAAAACTAAGAGGGGGAGAAAAAAAACATGAGCTTTTTATGCTGGGGTTAATACTTAGTTTATGTTTGGATTAAGGATTGACCCTTGAACATCATTGACCACAAGATTATTCAGCTCATTCAGCATGGGACCGAAATGCATCAAAGTTAATCACTCACCCTTGTACCGGGGGCTCATTAAAACACACTCCAGACATGCGGGGACCCACACAAAACAGGCCTGTGAGTCATTCTGGGTTCCTGACCCATAACATAAAAAAACACCCTTGAGGTCTGCTTCCATCAACATGATAATAAATCTAGTCTTTTCTGTTGCTATTGAGAGCAAAACACTTCTTTTTCTGGGATTCTATTGAGTCTGAGTAAAGAATAAAACCAAGTATTGAGTCTATCAATATTCTGCAGTACATTTATCAGCATAGGACCAAACAAATATGGATTTGCCCAAAGCTAATTGGGTGGACTGACTCTGACAGCCCTACAAAAAACAACAATAAATAAAACAAAATTGAAATCAGCATCCACTTAGCTCAGCGGGTTTCACAGCTAACATGATGTAGTATTCATCAGGGTGCTACTGTCTGAGGCATTTTGGAATTTAACATATACATTCAGCATTTTAACAAGCTAACTGTATATGCTTCCGACAAATTGTCACACTGGGATTGCATCCACACACACCGAGATGCTGTTATTCTCTGAAATCCTTTGCATTCAGCAATTTCCTCACATAAACAGCACATGCAACAGCACAATAACACAGATAACCTGTTATCTTGACAAACCCAAATAAGAAACCAGGGATATACTGATATTATCTGGGACAGCAAGCTCAACATTCTTCTGTGCTATGCTGAGAATATTTTTCACTTTTCCTGATTAAGCTGAAAATGCATACAAATAGTATAACCCTTAATGTGACCTGATGCAAAGTCTGAGTGTGTGTGTGTTTCTGGACTCAATGACACCTTTTCAAAACTACCACTTAGTGTGATTTCATATAGAGAATATAGTAGTTAGATATACACTTGCCCCCGCTCTCTCTTTGTCTCTCAGACTGACCTTGCAGTGTGCAGGTAATGCTTAAATGCTATAATTACACTGCATGTGCGAGTGGTGCGTCTGTGTGTGTGTGTGTGTTTCTGTCTTTCATTATTGTGTGCTCTTCTGGAGTGTTTATGTGTGTGTTTGCATGCATGTGTATGTGTGAGCTCAGACAAGCCCCATCGACCTGTTGAGAGCAGCAGCTGTTGTCATGGTAACAGAGGAGGAAAGAGAGGAAGATTTCGGATCTGCTATCTCTAGAGACAGAGGTACTCACAGAATACAGGACACACACATAAACAAGCACACACACATGCACATGCAAAGCCTATGGAATAGAGACAACACATTAATGGGTAACTACACACATCCTCTAAACAAATTGAGCACAACTTCACCAACAGACTGATGTTCACTTCAAACACATCCTGCATTTAAACAGGGCTACACTGCAGGTAAGAAGGACATCCCAAAGTGGAATATTTAGATGAACAAGCAGGCAGAAAGATTGACAGTTTGATTGGGATTTTTTGAAGGACAACAACATTTTCTGTAATTTTGCCACTGTTGGTTCTGTCCATGTTTTTTTGTTGTGACTCAGACTCCATCCTGTTACTTATTCCTCTCTTTCTGGTCTCTCATTATCCCTAAGAGCCCTCTTTAATGCCCCTCCACTTTCTTTCACTCATCTAATTCCCTTACCTTTCTCTCTCAGTAACCATCTGTCTCTTCCCTCCCTTTGGAGACGTTTAAATGAATGATGCTGTGAATTGTGTGTAATGATCTGAACGCACATCAGTCATTGGGTGAGATTGTTCCAGTGACCCTGAGGGTTTATGCATGATTTTTTTTCCAATGAATTGTCCTTTTTTTCCAATACAAGCACAGCTGGACTGGTTATCTTAAGGTCTACCATTGACATTATGACTTTTAATAATTACTATAAATACACAAGGTGATCAGGGGGATCATTTGTCTGTTTCCACTGCTTCACCCCACTGATTGAGATTACACACACTTTCGAAGGCAGTGTTTTTCCCATGGGAAATTTGGAGTTCTTTTTAAGAAAACATGTCTATTGTTTGAATGAAATGCACGAAAACACAACCACGGTGGGCTCAAGACCCTGGATTTTTAACATTAAACTGAGCAAAACCATCAAAACAAATGTTGGATCAAATTAAGCAAATAGTAATTTAGTGGCTATTTGATAAATATACACGTACAAAAGAATGTCATATGTCTATAATACATATTATATCATACAATTATATCAAACATTACTTTTCCGTAGTACTTTTGGTCATTATATCCTATATCCTATATCCTACAATGTTATCAACTCTGATTTTTCTTAATCTGATAATTCCTTAGTGCAACCCTCTTGAAACACACACATAAAAGCACACATACTTCTAACTCATTTTCTCTTTCCTCACCAATTCGCTCTGCTTTCCACTTCTCTCCTCCCTCATGATCCCCCTATCCTCACTCCTCTCCTCCCCTCACTCATTATTTGCCCTCCCCCTGCTATGTCATTTTTCTTGTTTACCTTTCCCATCCTCCCCTTGATCCCTTCTTCCCTCCTCAACTACTCGGCTCCATCATCTCTCCTGTCGACATCCGTGTCCTGCCCACATCCCTGCCCTTCTCATTTCCCCAACCCCTCTTCTTCCTCTCCTTCTCTCCCTCTCAGGACGATGTCTGACTGTGCTCTTGCTGAGTTCACGCTCATGTGGACCCTCTCCTATTATAGATCACTTTGACTGTGACACTGACCATTTCTGTCTCTCTCCCTTTTCTCCCTCTATCTTACCCTGAGGGAAAACCAAGTCATTATGTTCTGCAGCTTAAAAAAAAAAGAAAAGTAGAAAGGAGAGGAAGGGTAGAAAGGAAGGACGGGTGGGGGAACAGCAGGAATAAAGGGATTTGGATGGACAGAGGGAGAGAGGGAGAGAGAGAGAGAAACGGATAATGAATGAGAGCGGGAGTGTGGAGGAACAGAGGCATGGATGAACCTGGGGGAGAGGGGATGAATGCGGTTAGAAAGAGCTAGGGGAGAGACATATGCTGGGGAGAGGTGTGAAGGAGGGATGAAAATGACACAATTTGTATTATCCTCCTGTGAGAAAGGAATGTAAGATGAAAGAGGGAGAGAAAGAAAGGGAGACGAGGAGAGGGCCTGACAGAGGAACGGGGAGAAAGGATTAAGAAGAGTGAGCAGAGAGCAGAGAATCACACCGAGTGAGACATAGGAGAGAAGAGAGATTGATTAAGAAAGAAAGAGAAGGAGGGATAGAAGAAAGGAAATAGGAATATTAAACAAATAAGGAAGTATGATGCATTCTTAACATGGTTATGTCCTACATCCATTCTTCTCCTCCTCTCTCACCATACAATGATTCTTTTCTACCTGCGTCCATTCTACATGAGGTTGCAACACATATAGAATTATAGTAAGTTTGAGATGTAATAGCTTTTATATATAATGTCAAAATTTGTTTTTGGAAGAACAGATATTATACTGAAGGGAGTACAGGGCTGTTAAGACAACAACCTCCTGCCTGAACGCTGGCAAGACTAAGTAGCTGATAGTGGACTTTGGGAAGAAGCAGGGGAGGAACTACAGCCCCATTAATATCAACGGGTCCACATCACCAAGGCCCTGACCTGGGTGCAGCATTCTGACCCTGTGTTGAGAAAGGCAAGGCAGTGAGCATCTGGGAAGATCACCACCTGGTACGGAAACCAGACCATTTCCATTGTCTACATTGTTCCTACTCGATTGACGATTCATTTGAAGTTTAATGAAGGTAGGCTTGTTTTAAAAGAACTCCCTCATCTGCCTGTTTCCATCTGGTAAGTTCTAAATGAGGGCAACCTAGAGCAAAACATGTAACCCAGGAGCTTAAGATTCTGGACAGGTTTCCTTCAGGCTATCCAATAAAAGTGAATTAATTAAAAGTGTCAACCTTTAAAAAGAAATGAACGCTTTTTGTTGTAAGTGAGAGTGAAACATGTTGCACGTTACTCCACATAAAACAAACCTCCACTCATGGTTAGTTAAAGGATACTTCCATTCTACGATGCTGATGCAGGCCCTGCGGATGGGGTTCTTGAGTGTGAGACAGAGTAGGGCCCGTGGCGGCCTTGTGGCTGTCGTCGTTGTCTGTTTCTTGGGCTTGGAGCTATAGTGTTGTCTCTTCCTTTGCGTGGAGCTGGCCGTGGAGATGGGCCCGCCCCCTCCCGACCCAAGCCCCGCCCCTCCGCTCGTTGCGGCATTGCCCATCATCTTCGCCTGCCGCGCGGCGTCGATGGCCGCCTGCCAGCTCAGGGCCGCCCCCGGTGTGGGGATGTGCTCCGGGGCCAGGCCCACAATGCCGACCCCGTGGTTGACCCCGCCCCCTCCTCCATCATGGTCGCCGTGGCTACCACCGCCACTGTGCTCGTTGGTCCAGGCCAGGGGGAGGAGGG